AATTATTGACTGTTACCGTCCTGCTGGTAAAAGGGGAGGGGGAAAAGAAAGGCAAGTAGTTCTCAGCGTGCTAAAAAAGAAGCTGTTGGATCAGGCGGCCTATATGCAGTTCATTTTTCTGGGAGGCATAAGAAAAGATTTTACCCATTCGGAGGGAGGAAAATAAAATTAAAAATTGCAAAAAATAAAATAAATACATGGCGGCGGATGTTGCTAAATGTCCTTCCCTGAGCATCTGTTGTTTAAGATCACCCTTGATTGATGACTGCTATTTTTTAATTGTTGCTTTTAAAATTTAAATGCCCTCCTGGGATGTGTTATAAGTGTGTTAGTGCATGGTAGGAGGTCTGGAAAAGTGGGAACTAGCAGAATGAGTGTTGTGATGTCATTACCGCCCTTACAGGAGAACACCCCCTGCCATAAAACCACAGTACCCTAAAGTAATCAACAATCTAATAGATAGGCTTCCACTAAAGGTATTTGACAACTCTCTCTGTGTCATCTGGTGCCAGTGACTGGCAGATACACGGGGATTTTAACTTTATTTAAAATTAAAAAAAAACTGTAGAAGTGTATTTTTATTCTTTTTACCCTTATTTAAGGGACAAACTGAAAACACCTTCTTAGGGGGCCGTTTGTTTTTTAAATCTATTTCCAAACAGTTTTCATAGCAGAGCAATATTTTAAAGCTGTAACAAGAAAGACAATATATTAAAAGCAGCATATGGCAAAAAAAAAAAAAGGTTCCATGGGTGAAGATTAATTAATATTTTCTCCTCTTCAACAGATACCCTACTATGCAATGTTAATGCCCGAAGTGTAAAATATTCCATTTTTCCCTTTAAAATAATATTAAAAAAATAAGAACTTTTGAGGAGAGGGAAATACCCTTAAAGCGGAAAAACAAAATCGGCACAAAACCCATAAGAACATCAGAATCCCCATTCCTACCTGTTTTTTCTTTGATTTCACACAAGACGTTAAAAAGGGCCGGCTTCATTCTGTGGCAGTTTAAAGCATGTTTCCTGCAAGAAAGAAGCAAGGTTAGGGTGCCATGGCAGCTCAAGACAACTTTCAAAATTGAAATTGGCTAGCATGTGCAAAAGGAGGGGGGAAAATACAAATATTCCTATAAACAATAGCATGTGCAAAAGGAGGGGGGAAATACAAATATACCTATAAACAATATACATTTTGGCCAAAACTGCACAGGAAGTCACCGTTCAATAACTTTTAGGACTTTAACTGGTGATCTTTCAGCCTTGAGGGGCTACCCACTAACGCAGATAACATAAATTAGGCCAATTTAGGAATTAGTAGCAAAAGCCATTTTCAAGTAAGTGGCATTCACAATCTAGCAGCCCTAGCCAGGCAATTAACAGCCAAAGCCAGGAACATGTGGAAGACAATCTTATTGAAATACACAGCACTGAGATCTGTCTCCCTCCCTCTGACCCCGTCCCCACACTACCCTCCTTTCTATTTAATACACCCATGTGATCCAATTCATCCTGCAGATGCTCCTCAAAATTTGAAAGGTGCACCGACTGGAACTGTCAATTTCTAGCATTTCAGGACCCAAGTGAAAGAGAATGGAAATGCACTGCCAGGGGCAAACACACACATCTGGGCACAAAAATTCATTTTTTCATGTTTACATTATGCATCTTGTGTACACACTGCCTGCTTGCTGATGTTAAGATTCAATTATTGACAATTAGGACACTACACACATTTAAAAAAAAAAACCACACACACACAACCCTCTGCCTGCTGGATTTTTTTAAATTTTCTTTTCGGGCGGCAGGGATTAGTTATTGTTTTTGAGGGAGGCAGGAGAGTTGCTTGTTTAATTGGCTGGTTGCCTTTAAAACCCATCAGGTGCCCACTTAAGCAAAGAAACAAATGTCATTTTTTTTAGCCATATAATCACTTTGCAAAGGGCTTGGTTGTATAAAGGGCTGTTCCAATCAGGCATCAATTATGGGAATGCTGTTTACCAACTGAAATTATATATAAAGGTGGTGGGAACATCTGGCAAACATTCATTATTATTTTGCTCACCACCCTAAGCCCCCCACCTGACCCCACCTTATGGTAAAAGATTGGTATATGAAGTCTCTCAAAGGCATAACCCAGAAAAGCCACACTGTCACCTTAGCAAGGAACTCAAATGATCACAGCCATTTGTATATAAACAATGCATATGTGCTACACACACACACTTAGCAATTTACATCTTTGAAGGAACTTCATAAAAAACTAACATGGGATGCATACGCAGGATTGAAAACCACGCATCGCTGAAAAATATAGTCGGTTTCGCAGATGAAAAGGAAGTCCTGTAAGGAAGTAGCTGTGGGTAGCCCAGCAAGGCAAAACATGGAGCATCATCCAGGTCTCAAAGTTCTGTTTGTTTTTAATTCAATTGAATGTATATTACACATGCAAAAAAACACACACACACAATTTCTGTAACTTTCAGGATAAAGATTTTCCCCCTTCCCCAGCTCTGTCTGGGCATGAAGTGGGAAATTTCTTCATCCTAAAAGCTAGCAAGCTCTGCTTCTACAACAATCAGCCCAATAACAAAGTATCCTATTATATTGGGGTTTTAAGGCTAAAAAGACAGAGAGACCAAATATAATAGCATACCCTCATGCCTTTGGAAGTAGATCCAAGCTAGTTTATTGGGATGTGTGTTTTTCCATGAACAATGTACTCTAGCAATCTGTTCCATTGTGGAACATATGTGCCAGTGAGAACTATACCACACCTAGAAGCTTTTCTTCAGATAATAAAATTCTAATGTACATCAGACAATTTTTGACAACTTTATATTAAAAAAAATAAATAACTGAGCCTTCATTTTTCTAAGTTTTGCTAGAGCTTCTCAACGCTGTCTATTGAGCTTGCATGCGATGAAGTTGAATATGTTCCAGTTAGCAGATTTTTACTGTTTTTTTTCCTTTTTAATATCCCACCATAAAAAAAAAAATCTGTGCACGTCTGTCCCAACCATAAAATGTAGCCTTAGAAGAAAGTGCATTATTTTAAAATGTGTCCAAAGATGATATACCACTTGGTGCATTTTCTATGGAATTCAAAGCAGGCTACTGTGTTTTTAAAATTGTCTACTGTAAAATGAAATACTACAGTGCAAATGCTGAAGAAGAATCAGCTGCCATCCGCAGATCCGACTCCAAAAATGTACATAATCCACACATGTTTCCAATAACACACAGTAGTGTCATAGGTGCCTAATGTGGGGGGTGGAGGGGGGAAAAGAGAAAGAGTGTAGTTTTTGTACATATAGCTGGATTAGACAGTAAACCCACAAGAAACTGACCCAAGTTTTTGTTGTTTTTTTAAATCCCATCACTCCAAACAAGAATTTGAGTAAGACTTTTTCAATGAATAAAAGCAAATATCCACCCCTCCCCATGAAAAGGCCTGTTTTTTAAAATCCCATGGAAAAGCTTTTCTAAAAGGGCAGATAACCGGCGACAAAGAAAGTGATTTGTTTTTACACACACACAAAAGAGCAAGGAATCAATTTTTTTAGAAATCCTAACCGTCCCAAGACACGGGCAAGAAGGACGGGATGAAAGGAATGAAAATCAAATAATTTAGCAATAAAGTCTAGCCTGGGACTTTCTCCTCCTGCAATACCACCCAGCAAGATGATGTTCAAAACTTAGCCCTCCTGTCCTGTTCGACTCCAGGCGCCATGGAAGTGAGGAAGGCCGGCTTGAGATCAGAGAGCAGTTTCAAATAGATAGATAAAGACAGACTGATATAATGTAACTATATCATATCACCAGATAGATAGATAGATACACTTGCGATCAATATTTCTCCTGCGTCTCTGGTTCCTTCCCTTCCCAACCTAGCTGATCTTCAAAGCAGAGAAAGCACAATGAAGAAACCCAGCACCATGCAAGAAGGAAGAGAAGATTTCGCCCGCCCCCCCCTTTCCCATCTCACCTGGCTTGTGCCTCATCCAAACTCTGATCTGTGATGGTCATGATCTGTTGTAAAATGTCTCCAATGTCTTGTTTCCTGCCTCCCTCGCCCTCTGTCCCTCCTGCTCCATCCTGCATGTGTTGGGACAGGCCGGGATGTCCTGCCATCCCCACCCCAGCATGGGAATGCATCAACCTGGGTTGATCGTCCATCGCCCAAGCTAGCAGCAGCAGTCCCTTTTCTCCTTCCTTCTCCCTCCTGCTCCTTCGGCGCGCCTCCTAGGGAGAAACCAGGCTTTTTATCCTTCACGCTGGCTCCAAATCCTTCTTCTCGGGAGGAGGAAATTAAAAAAAAAAAGGCAAAACGAGAAAGGGGGGAGGGGGATCCCGTTGCTTCTTGAAGGAAGGGGGGAAGGGGACTCGGGGGGATGGGGAGGAGGGTGACTCCAAAAAGCAAGAAAAATAAAGCTCCTTGCCACTTGGGGAGGAGGATCAGAGCTGGATTCTGGCTGCTTTCTTAGTCCCGGGCTCCTTTTGCAATCGCAGAAATGAGCTATCAGCCTTTAAATCTGCCTCTTAATCCTTTTGCAAATAGGCATTGATCTGGGGAAGGCAGGGGCGAAGGAGGGTTGCAAGGCAAACTTTCCCCCACCCCCCTCCAGCCACTGCCAGAGCGATCTCAAAGGGGGTGGGCTGGTTTGCTTTCTTTCTTTTTTCCTCTCCCCTTCTTCTTGCAAAAGCCAGAGCTCTTCCCCCACCCCAGCAGCAGCAAAGCAAGCAAAATACCCTCCCTTTTCTCTCTGTCTCTGCAAACTCCAGCAGCCCCCTCTGCCTCCTGCTTTTGTTTAGCTCAGGCTCAGGACTCCTGAAACTGACACAGAAAAAAGCCACAGGAGGAGAGAGCCAAGCTGCCCACCCCTCTGCCTTGATTGGCCATCTGGGAAGGGCCCGAGCTCCTCCCACCCCTTCCTCAGACACATACACTCACATCCCCACCCCACCCCCCCAGCTTCCTGTCAATCACCGGGTTCAGAGGTGGGCTGTGCCCTGCTTCCATCCGAAGTCTCCAGTCCTTAAAGGTGCAAAGGGGTCTTTGCAAAAGAAAGTGTACTTGGCCTGTTCCCCGTTCCCCGTCGTCTCCCGATGTGCTTGCTCTTCGTAGGGGAGGGGAAGGCTTCCAACCCGGCCACCCTGCAGCCCTGCGAAAAGAAACAAAAGGAGGTTTATTGCAAACATGCCAACCTATCACTGGTTTACAAGCCTTGCCTGCATGTCCTTGCGAAAGCATTATTTGTACGCTGGGAAGCAGAGAGATGCCAGCTGTGATTCAGGAAAAGGGCCTGGTTCGCTCGGAGACCGGGCTGCCCTCCACCTTCATAAAGAGGAGGCAGGCCCCAAGAAACCCTGGGGCTAGGTGAAAAACACCGGATTTTTTTACAAAACTAAATAAATAAACACCAGGTTATTTCATTCACCTGAAGTTTCTGCACCTTTAGGTTACAGTTGGGTCACGTTCTCAGCCTTTCCTCCACAATCATGAAGGCTAGAAGGTTTTTTTTTAAATGAACTCCTTGCCTAATCCCCTGACTCCAGGAGTTGGGGCTTTAAGACATACACCAAATACTGTAAGAGTTGGCAGTGCTGGCTCTGGGTGACAATTCTGCAATAGGAGAGGCCATAGAAAGAGTTCAATTAAATGAGTGCTTGCCTTTCTTCCCAAGTGCTAAAGGGGTTCTGTGGAGCGAAGGAAGTTTTGGAATGATTTACAGAGCACCATCAGCGCTGGCCCTCCCCTGTACAAATAGAGCTGGATATGGTGCCCGCCCCAAGGAGCTTACAAAACAGAGCCCTGTCTGCTTCAGGAACTCAATCCCTTTAAACTGCCTTTGTGGGATTCAGTGAAGTGAACCGGGGCACTGCCACCTTGAAAATCAATTTTGTCTGGAAATATCACAGTGGTCCTAAGTATAAGTAACTCCTAAATCACCGCTGGCAAGTGTGACGTTTCCCTCAAAGAGACAGTGACTGATTCCCCCTCCCCCTGAGCAGTGGTAGGGGTCTGGCATTGAAGCACCTGAATGGAAAGCGGCCAGCATGTCCATCCACAGCCATGAAATCTGTGACTGCCCCACAGATCAAACACACACTTGTCTGGAGCTACCTACCCAACCTCCTGCATAACAGCAGGAGCTGGCAGCAGGCGCAGACAAAGTAGAGGGGCTTAGCAGTGCCTACCCATGGCCAGGCAGAGTCACTGCAAGGAATACCAGCTGCCTGCCTCGGACCCAGCTGGGGGCCTGAGCACGCAGCTGGTATGAGTGTCACGTGAGGCACCTGACGTGGCAGGTGTGCCTAATGTGGGTAAAACTGAAAGAGATTGTCAGGTCTCTGTGCCTGGCCTGCAGGGCGGCTGTGCTGCTGACCTACTGGGGGGAGGGGGGGGTGTACGTCTCCAGTTTTCAAAGAGATCCATATTGCTGGCATGCATCTCACAGGTCAGGGTCCTTGTTCTGCCCAGGGGTTACGGTCCCTGGCTGGTCAATTGTAATCCCTGTCTCCTGCAGTGCTCCAGATGGAACTTACATGCAAGCTCTGCCCCAGGGCCCGTAGGAGGATGTTCAGCAGTAACACAGCACCAGAGCAGCTGCTGGTTCTGAGTCTGGGGCCATGATGGTGTCATCTGTTCCCAGGACCACTGCATAGAGCTTGGGAGGAAAAGGAGCTGGATGGCCGCCAGGGGCACCCCTTTCTGCAGGGAGCCCCCATCAATCTCTGCATCCCTGTATGACTGAGACCGGGGTAGGAGACAAATGATCCTTGTTCTTACCCTCTCTAGAGCCCTGCACAGACCTGGGGAGTAGGGTTGCCAACTTTCTAATTCCAGAAAATGAACCCCCTTGCCCCACCCCCTCCCACCCACTGCCCTGCCCCTTCCCTGAGTCCCCGCCCCTCCCTGAGGCTCCCCCGCTCCCTCGCTTACTCTCCCCGACCCTCTTTCACATGCTCATTTTCACTGCAAGACCCAAACAGGCATATTTATTGTTTTGACAGATGTATTATGCTAAGTTCAGGTTTTATTTGTTACAGGACACTAGAGCTGGCAGCAAATAGTCAAAAAGGGTAATTTTTTAAAAAAAATGAAATTTCACGAAGGTTTTCATGATTCTTTCCCTCCCCTCTTCCCATTTTTCATAATCAGCTCCATGTTTTTTGTTCAGTAAAGTTATTGTAATTTTGTGTGTGGAATTAGGACCACACATTATCACAGTTGCAATGGGGCCATTAAAGGCCCACTCCCGAAGCCCAAATACAAATCCACAGAGCACAACCACAGAAATGCACACCTGTCCAGATACCTATATAAATAAATCTGTAGAAACTGACTTCCGCAACTACATGCAGATACACACGTGTATTCATGTATAGACATCTAGCACTAACATGTATATTTCCACATTATTTATTATTACAATTGTTGTTTAGTGCCTAGAGACCCCAGCTAAGATCAGGGCTCCAGGGTGGTAGGTGCTGGACATACACACAAAAAGAGAGAGTCTGCAACAAAGAGTTTATAATGTAGCTTGACAAAGGTGGGGAGAAATGTATGATGCATTGGCTCTTCTGCAAGTACTAGTCAACAACATTCACTGTTTAAGAAATAATACATTTCTTTTAGCGTTCCCTTCTCTTTTAAAAACTTGTTATGAAATGAATAAACACATATTTTGTCATCAATTTTTTTGTGCGCAAGCCAGCAAAAGGAATAAAAGTCAAAGAGTTAGGCTGCAAATTTTATTCACACAGATATACACACACGTGGCAATACACGCACCTCCCTACACAAAGACACTTACACACAGTCTCTTACACACCTACCGTGCATGTATGCACACACTTGCCTACACAGAGACACTTTTTCATACACTCTTCCAGCTTTACACCCAGCTGGGAAGGGAGGAGAGTGGGCTGGAGGGGTAAAGATGGGGGTGGGTGGGGGGGTGCAGGAGAGAGAATGGGGAGGGAAAGAGGCCAAAGATGAGAGCAGGGTGGGGGTAAGAGGGGGCAGTGAAGGAGAGGGGAGGGGGCATGGGGGGTATGTGGAGTGAATGGGGATGCAGGGGGAGGCAGAAGGCTACAGATGAATTAGGATGTGGGTGGCACAGGGGTGTATAGGGACATAATGGGAGTGCAGCAGTTTATGGAGGTGAATGGGGTGCAGGGCTGTAGGGGGTGGTGGCTCTGGGAGGTAGAGAGGATGGGTGGGAGAGCGCTGTAAGGGGTACAGAGCTGGGATGGGTAGGTGTGGGGGGCAGGATGGGATGGGAAGGGGGAGGGATGCAATGATGGGGGGATAGGGGTGTGGGGGTGGGACGGGGAGGAAAGCAGTGAGGGGGATAGGGGTGCAAGAGGGGTTGAGACTGAGAGGAATGCAGTGATGGGCGGATGGAGGTGTGGGGTGGTTGGGACGGGGAGGGATGCATAGATGGGGGATGGAGGTGCGGGAGGGTTGGGACAGGGAGGGATGCAGTGAGGGGGGTGGGGAGGGATGCAGTGATGGGAGATGGAGGTGCAGCGGGGTTGGGACGGGGAGGGATGCAGTGATGGGGGGATGGAGGTGCGGGGAGGTTGGGATGGGGAGGGATGCAGTGACAGGGGGATGGAGGTGCGGGGAGGTTGGGATGGAGAGGGATGCAGTGACAGGGGGATGGAGGTGCGGGGAGGTTGGGATGGAGAGGGATGCAGTGACAGGGGGATGGAGGTGCGGGGAGGTTGGGATGGGGAGGGATGCAGTGACAGGGGGATGGAGGTGCGGGGAGGTTGGGATGGGGAGGGATGCAGTGACGGGGGGATGGAGGTGCAGGGAGGTTGGGATGGGGAGGGATGCAGTGACGGGGGGATGGAGGTGCGGGGAGGTTGGGATGGGGAGGGATGCAGTGACCGGGGGATGGAGGTGCGGGGAGGTTGGGATGGGGAGGGATGCAGTGACAGGAGGATGGAGGTGCGGGGCCGTTGGGACAGGGAGGGATGCAGTGACAGGGGGATGGAGGTGCGGGGAGGTTGGGATGGGGAGGGATGCAGTGACGGGGGGATGGAGGTGCGGGAAGGTTGGGATGGGGAGGGATGAGTGACAGGGGGATGGAGGTGCGGGGAGGTTGGGATGGGGAGGGATGCAGTGACGGGGGGATGGAGGTGCGGGGAGGTTGGGATGGGGAGGGATGAGTGACGGGGGGATGGAGGTGCGGAGAGGTTGGGACAGGGAGGGATGCAGTGACGGGGGGATGGAGGTGCGGGGAGGTTGGGATGGGGAGGGATGCAGTGAGGGGGATGGAGGTGCGGGGCTGTTGGGACAGGGAGGGATGCAGTGACAGGGGGATGGAGGTGCGGGGAGGTTGGGATGGGGAGGGATGCAGTGACAGGGGGTGGAGGTGCGGGGAGGTTGGGATGGGGAGGGATGCAGTGACGGGGGGATGGAGGTGCGGGGAGGTTGGGATGGGGAGGGATGAGTAACGGGGGGATGGAGGTGCGGGGAGGTTGGGATGGGGAGGGATGCAGTGACAGGGGGAATGGAGGTGCGGGGCCGTTGGGACAGGGAGGGATGCAGTGACAGGGGGATGGAGGTGAGTGGGGTTGGGACAGGGAGGGATGAGTGACGGGGGGATGGAGGTGCGGGGAGGTTGGGATGGGGAGGGATGAGTGACAGGAGGATGGAGGTGCAGGGAGGTTGGGATGGGGAGGGATGCAGTGACAGGGGGATGGAGGTGCGGGGAGGTTGGGATGGGGAGGGATGAGTGACGGGGGATGGAGGTGCGGGGAGGTTGGGATGGGGAGGGATGCAGGACGGGGATGGAGGTGGGGGGTTGGGACAGGGAGGGATGCAGTGACAGGGGGATGGAGGTGAGCGGGGATGGGACAGGGAGGGATGAGTGACAGGGGGATGGAGGTACGGGGAGGTTGGGACGGGAGGGATGCAGGAGGGGGATGGAGGTGGGGGGTTGGGACAGGGAGGGATGAGTGACAGGGGGATGGAGGTGGGGGAGGTTGGGATGGGGAGGGATGAGGACAGGTGGATGGAGGTGGGGAGGTTGGGATGGGGAGGGATGCAGTGACGGGGGATGGAGGTGCGGGGAGGTTGGGATGGGGAGGGATGCAGTGACGGGGGTATGGAGGTGCGGGGAGGTTGGGATGGGGAGGGATGCAG